ACGCAGGGTAAGTACAGAATACAACTTTAATGAAAATAAGTTTTCTAAAAAAAAAAAAAAAAAGAAAATAAATTTTCTATCACTAAACACCTAATAGAATGGCTAGTAGAATGGCCAAAATTCAGATCACTGACAACTTCTGGGAGGATGTGGAGCCATGGGAACTCTTGTTCATTTCTGGTGGGAGTGCAAAATGGAAATAGCCACTTTGCAAGACAAATTGGTGGTTTCTTACAAAAATACCATCAAGGGGACCTGCTCCTTGATATCTAGTAAAAGAAGCAGAACATTTATGTCCACGTGAAAACCTTCACACAAATGTCTGCAGTAGCTTATTCATCATTGTCAACATTTGGAAGCAACCAAGATGGCCTTCAGTAGGTAAATGGATAAACTCTGATATATTCAGATAATGGAATTATATTCAGTGCTTAAAACTAAATTAACAATCAAGCCATGAAAAGATATAGGGGAATTAAACATGTATAACTAAGTGAAAGATACTAGTGTGAAAAGTTACGCACTCAATGATGCCAACCCAGTAGTATGACATTTTGGGAAAAGCAAAACTAGGGAAACTAAAAATATCAATGGTTGCTAGTCATCAAGGCTATATATTATCACCCTGCTTATTTAACTTACATGCAGAGTACATCATGCAAAATGCCAGGCGGATGAAGCACAAGCTGGAATCAAGATTGCCAGGAGAAATATCAGTAACCTTGGATATGCGATGACACCACCATTATGGCAGAAAGCGAAGAGGAAAGTGATGAAAGTGAAAGAGGAGAGTGAAAAAGCTTAAAACTCAGCATTCAAAAACTAAGATCATGGCATCCCGTCCTGTCAGTTCATGGCAAATAGATGGGGAAACAATGTAAACAGTGACAGACTATTTTTTGGGCTCCAAAATTACTGCAGATGGTGACTGTAGCTGTGAAATTAAAAGACACTTGCACCTTGGAAGAAAAGTTATGACCCACCTAGACAGCATACCCACTCCATTTCTCTTTCCTGGAAAATTCCATGGACAGAGGAGCATGGTAGGCTACAGTCCATGGGGTCGCTAAGAGTCGGACACAACTAAGCGACTTCACTTTCACTTTTCACTTTCATGCATTGGAGAAAGAAATGGAAACCCATTCTAGTGTTCTTGCCTGGAGAATCCCAGGGATGGGGGAGCCTGGTGGGCTGCTGTCTATGGGGTCGCACATAGTCGAACATGACTGAAGTGACTTAGCAGCAGTAGCAGCAGCAGACAACATATTAAAAAGCAGAGACATTACTTTGCCAACAAAGGTTTGTCTAGTCAAAGCTATAGTTTTTCCAGTAGTCCTGAATGGATGTGAGAGTTGGACTGTAAAGAAAGCTCAGTGCCAAAGAACTGATGCTTTTGAACTGTGGTGTTGGAGAAGAATCTTGAGAACAGCAAGGAGATCAAACCAGTCAATCCTAAGGGAAATCAGTCCTGAATATTCATTGGAAGGACTGATGCTGAAGCTGAAACTCCCATACTTTGGCCACGTGATGTGAAGAACTGACTCACTGGAAAAGGCCCTGATGCTGGGAAAGATTGAAGGCAGGAGAAGGGGATGAAAGAGGATGAGATGGTTGGATGGCATCACTGTCTCAATGGACATGAGTTTGAGCAGGCTCCAGGCATTGATGATGGACAGGGAAACCTGGTGTGCTGCAGTCCATGAGGTCGCAAAGAGATGGACATGACTGAGTGACTGAACTGAACTGAACTGAGTGGTTATGGAGGAGGAGAGGGATGAATAGGCATAACAAAGGGTTTTTAATGCAGTGAAACTACTCTGTATGACACTGTAATGGTGGATGTCATTATACATTTGTCAAAACCCATAGAGTGTACAATTCCAAGAGTGGACCCTAAGGTAAAGTATGGAATTAGGGTGAAAATGACATGTCATTGTAGTTTCAACAGTTGTAATAAATGCATCACTCTCCTGGGGGAAGTTGACAATGGGGGTTGCTAGCATATGTGGGAGGAGGTGGTATGGGGGAAGTCTCTGTACCTTTCTCTCAATTTTGCTATGAACTTAAAACTGCCCTGAAAGGCAGTCTATTAAAAAATAAAGTAAATTTTAAAAAAGAGTTTTCTTGTCTCATGGAGAGAAGTGTCATTATTTAGAAGTTTAAAGAACTGCTTGGATATATAAAATCCAATTAATGGGCACATTTTTTTTTTTAAATCGGTAATAGAAAATGATTGAAAACACAAACATAAAGCTTTAAAGTTTTAAGTAAATTGAAGACTATTACTAAAGACATTTCTGCAAAAAAAAAAAAAAAAACCCACACAAAACCCAAAGAGACAAGTAGCTTTATAACAATAGGCACAGACTACAAAGAGGAATTTTTCAAAAGATTGCATTTTTCTCTGCAGCCTTACAACTAGTAATCTTATAAAAGATTTAATACTAGTTGTAGCACAAAGAATTATAGTAAATTCTAAGTGATATAATAATATGAATTTGCATTTCCACATCAATCGGGAATAAAAAGTTAAAAGTCATGAATACAACTTGCTTTATTAATAGTCCATATAATGGCATGCATGTCTAGTAAATTATTTCAACAGTGACATTGAGGAAGGTGGTTGCATAGGAATTCCAAGATTTTCAGGCCAGTAACTAAAGGTGGATTCAAACCTTTTCATATGGATTACACTAAATAAGTGAGTTTTATCATTATCATATGTGCTTGAATATTCTGATTCTTGTAAAGCCAGGCCTGTCCACCTAGGTGTTTTGCCACCATTTCTAATAGCTAAGAGACAGTTATTAATGGTAATGATTCCTATGTAACCTCAAAACTAAAATTGCCACTAGACATGGAGGCATGAGATATGTCCTATCTCTATTGTTAATTGACTTTTCTTCACTAAACTTCAAATGAGGCAGATATAACAGAATGTAAAGAAATAAAATCATAGATAAATAGTTTCCCTGCACATTCTTATTTGACTCTTAAATATTATTATTTATCCGATAAGTTAATTCTCAGGAGATCATATAATCAGACACACTTGGAATCTTCTCAAAATGAGAAACTTGAGCTATGCTTACCTCATCAAAGAAGGCCTCATCTTCTGTCAGTTTTTACTATTTGCCTGTATAAATTCTCTGAAGATTCCATACCTTATACCTTTTCCTTTTCCTGCTCCATAAATTAAGAATTCCTAAATATTTAGTTTTGATCTTTTGTTCTAGTCACTATACATCCAATCATTCAGTTAATATTTAATTGAGCATTTACTATATGTCGCATACTCTGCTGGCCTCTAGAGAGATCAGGGAACAAAATAGATGCTTTCTGCCTTCATGGAATTTGTTCAGTACCAAATCTCATCCATCCTATGTAATACCTTCCTGAATACTTTTTAAAAAAGTGATTACATATACACACTACTATATATGAAATAGATGACTAATAAGGACCTCCTGTATAGCATAGGGAACTGTATTCAATACTCTGTAATGGCCTATACAAGAAAAAAATCTAAAAAGAGTGGATATATGTATGTGTATATATATATATATCGGAGAAGGCAATGGCAACCCACTCCAGTACTCTTGCCTGGAGAATCCCATGGACAGAGGAGCCTGGTGGGCTGCCATTTATGGGGTCACACAGAGTTGGACATGACTGAAGCGACTTAGCAGCAGCATATATATATATATATATATATATATATATATATATATATACACATATATATATATATATATAAAACAGATTCACTTTACTGTACACCTAAAACTAACACAACATTATAAATCAATTATACCCCAAGAAAAATGTTGTAAAAAGGGATTATCTTCTCCTTTGACAGCCATAGTATTTTAATTAATATTAATTGATTAATACTTTTTGCCTTACAAACAACAGAAATTTATTCCTCACAGTTCTGGAGTCTGGGAAGTTCAAGATCAAGATGCTGGCAGATATGGTATCTGGTGAGAGCCTGCTTTCTGGTTCATAGAAAGCTTTAGTTCATACCTCAGAAGTTGTGTTATAATCAAGACTGCCAGCCAAGCACACAGCCATGATAATATTCTTAGATTTCGCTAGAAGCTTCAATAGGGGCAAACCTTTATGCTAGATTATGCAGTAAGACTGCTGCTAACCTTTTCCCTTCAAAGCCATCCTTCAGTCAACAGATTCTTGAGCTTAGCTTTGCCTTATCATATAGGTATGCATATATACATATATTCTATTGTTTTTTCCAAGAATTATGTACTTACAAGGAAAATTTAAGATTAGAGATGCTGATAACAAGCTGATAGAATTATGTGATATGAGAAAATATCTTAAAAACATAACACAAAACAAAAAGTTGCAATTATAACACTTCAAAGTTATTATTACCATAAGCTTCAGAGATTTATTTTCTCTTTCTTCATTCAAATAGTTCCCTTCTATACTACCATTTGGAGTTATTTTTTCTCAAAAGACAGGCTATGTTACTTGAATTATTTTTATTTTTAGAATTCTATCAATAAACAGAGGGAAAGTGTAGCTAAGAAAGTTACAATGACTCCACATTTCAAAGCTCTTGCAACCATTTTCACTAGTTCCAGGGATAACACATATCTTCCATCTCTCATAAACTTTCTCTCCACTCTTGTCTCTTCTAAAAGAATGCTTGATATACATCATGAATCATTGACAGCATGCTTTTCACATTAAACAGAATTGTCCCCAGAATTTCATTTAACACAGTAGTCCGAAGATGGAATTTTCTCATTCTATTGCTATTCCCAAGTTCAGAGCTCTATTCTGTACTCTTGACTCTTTCCTCCTAGTAGGCACAATGTTCATGAAGGGTTCAGGTTGAAATGTATTTTATTTAGTCCTTTATTTATTAGAGATTTATGAACAGAAACACGAGGCTGTGAATGAAGTAATAGATGTAATGAAGTAGTGAGAAGACAGTTCATGTTGATCCTCTTTCTGTGAATAGGTCTCTTCAATTATTTATACTTCTTAGGCTTACATTGTCTAATGCAGCAAAGCGATGTAGACACATCACAATATACCATCCTAAATTCATTTCCACCACATTTATTTCTACAGTGACCACCAAACATTATACATGCACGTGTCAGATTAAAGATAGAGTGGTGCTCTTTACTTTCAGCTGAAAAAAAAAAAAGGGTGAATGGAATTAATTATCCAGGTAAGAAATATATGTATTTAAAAGAAGCAGCACAGGCCACAGAGGGGAGAAAAAGAAATTTTCTCATTTTTTCATTGGAAATTTTCTTCTCTTTTTCAGAGCAAGTCAAGTAAATCAGAAAATATCTGATTCCTAATATAGATGTCACATCTCTACAAATTTTGATTGATTAGGTATTGACTCAATAAGGGATACATGGAAAGCCTGCAATTTACTAATGCCTTTGTCCTCTAGAGCCACTAAATATGAGTGGTCCAACCAATCTCTAGATTGCTTTAGATATTGTCACCATTTTTGCAATATTATTTCTTCCAGTTCAATAACACGGGTTATCTTTCCATTATTTTGTATCATTTCAATTTCCTTCATCAATGTTTTATAATTTTCAGATTATAGGTCTATGACTGCTTTGATTAATTTTATTCCTAGGTATTTTTATCATTTTTGATGTGATATTAGTGATCAGCCTGTTCAAATTGTTTATTCTTGATTTAGTCTTGGCACATTGTCTAGAAATCTGTCCATTTCTTCTAGGTAGTCTAATTTGTTGAAATATAACTGCTCATAATATGGTCTTATGACTTTTTTGTATCTCTGTGGTATTGATTGATATCACTGACTCAATGGCCAGGAGTTTGAGTAAGCTCTGGGAGATAGTGAAGGACAGGGAAATCTGGCGTGCTACAGTCCATGGGGTGCCAAAGAGTGGGACATGACTAAGTGACAGAACAACAATAACAACAGTTGATTGATAATGTTGTTTCTTTTAGTTCTTATTTTGTCTGTTTAGGTCTTTTCTGTTTTCTTCTTGGTAAGCCTGACTAAAGGTTTATCTTTCCCAAAAAACAGTTCTGTCTCGTTAATCTTTTCTATTTATTTATTTATTTTTTTGTCTCTGTGTTATTCACTTCTTCTCTGATCTTTATTATGTCCTTTCTGTTGACTCAGAGCTTAGTTTGTTTTTCTTTTTTAAATTCTCTTAAATGGTATGTTAGGTTATTTGAGATTTTCTTGTTTTCTGAGAAAGGCCTACATTGCTATGACTTTCTCTCTTAGAAATGCTTTTGGTGCATCCCATAGATTTTTAAAAATTGTGTTGGCATTTTCATTTATCTCAAGGTATTTTCTGATTTTTAAAATTTTTTCATTGACCCATTGGTTTTTTAGTACTATATTTTTTAGTATCCACATGTTTCATTTTTTCCGATTTTTCTTTCTGTAATTGATTTCTAGTTTTATATTATGTGATAGAAAAAATGTTTGATATAATTTCTATCTTTTTAAATTTGTTGAGACTTGTTGTGTGGCTTGGTGTACAATTTATCCTGGAGAATGTTCCATATGCACATACAAAGAATACATAGTCTGCTGATGGGGCTAGAATGTCCTATAAGTATCTATTAAGTCCAACTATTCTATTGTGTCATTTAAGACCACTATTGCCTTATTAATTTTCTGTCTGGATGATCTATTGATATAAGTGGGATGTAAAGGCCCCTACTATTATTGTGTAATTGTCAATTTCTCCCTTTACATCAGTTAATATTTGCTTTGTACATTTAGGTAGTCCTATGCTGGGTACATACATGATTACGAGTGATCATGCTCCTTTCCCATATTTTATATTTTCAGTGTCATTTTACATCTTCATGTTTGTCCTATAGCTGTTCATTTCAATTATGGTGGCTTTTGCAATTTTTATGTCTTTAAATCTTCACACTAGCATATGGAAGTGGTTGGTCCTCAGCCCTAACTATACATTTGTCTTTCTTAGTGGCATTTTCCTTTTTCTATAGATTCTTACTTCTTTCTACTTAGAGAAGAAATTTAGGGTAGTTTTAGTATTGTTGAACTTTTTTAATATTTTCTTTTCTGAGAAGTTCTTTACCTTTTATTCAGTTCTAAATAACCATCTTGCTGGATAAAGTACCATAGATAGCAAGTTTTTCCCTTTCAGTTCTTTAAATATATCATGCTACTCCCTTCCATTTGCAAAGTTTCTGCAGAAGAATAAGCTGAAAGCCTTGTGAGAGTTCCTTTATGAATGACTCTGTCTTTTTCTTGCTGCCTTTAGAATTTTTTTGTTTGTTTATAAACAATGGACATTTATTTCTCCCTGTTTTGGAGGCTGTAAGTTTAAGGTGAAGGCACCAGTAGATTTGGTATCTGGTGAGGAATTCACTTCCTGGTTCATAAATGGCCATTTTTCTTGCTGTGTCCTCACAAGGAGGAGGAACTTGATTTCTCTATTTAATTTTTGTCATTTAATTATGATATGTGTTAGAATGTGTCTATTTGGGATCATCTTGTTTGGGACTCTGTGCTTTCTCTACTTGGTTATCTGTTTTCTTCTTTAAGTTTGGGAGGTTTTTAACTGTAATTTCATCAAATGCATTTTCAATCTCCTTTTCTCTCTCTTCTCCTTCCGGGATCCCTATAATGTGAATGTTGGTATGCTTGATGTTATACCAAAGATACCTTAAACAGTTTTCATATTTTTAAAGTGTGCTTTTCTTTTAGCAAAAGTCTCTGATTGAGTGATTTCCATTATTCTACCTTGCAGATCACTTATGCATTCTTCTGTATCATTTAATCAGCTATTTATTCTTTCTAGTGTGTTTTTTAATTTCAATGATTAAATTATTCATTCACAATCAGGTCTTTTGTATATTTTCTAGTTCCTTGTTAAATCTTTCACTATGTTCTCTTGCCATCTATTCTTTTTCTTAATTCAGTTAGCATTCTTACTACTAATGTTTTCAATCCTTTACCTGGTAAATTATTTATTTCTATTTCATGATTTATTTTTCACACATTTTCTCTTGCTCTTTCAATTGAGACCAGTTCCTCTGCTTTCTCATTTTGCTTAACTTTCTCTATGAATTTAGGTGAAACAGTTACCTGCAGTGGTCTTGAAGGGGTGTCCTTATATGGGAGGATCCCTATTCAGTTTACATGTGCCCAGTCCTTTGCTTGAAGAGGTAAATTTGATATAGGTACAAATCAAATGTTTTCTCAGTGTGTGATGGTAGCTACCACCTTGGCAGGTAGCGGGGATGGAGATGGAAGGAGTAGAGCTGAAGGCAGGTGTGAGGCAGGGTTTTTCCTCTACTGAGTGGTATTTGTTGCCCAATCAAGGGTAAGGTTGGATCTCTAGTTGCTGAGGGTCAGGTCTGAGCTGGCTCCATTTCCTTTAAAGATGTGCTCTCTGCTCTCCCAGCACTGAGATTCTTGCCCTAGAGTAGGGAGTGCTGAAGCAAGAGGGGCTCATGCTTGCTCTTGGCTCATGACGGGACGCAGGCTGCAGCAGACGCTACAGATGGGTATCCAAGCTGCCTCCAGGGCACCACCTATGCACGTGCCAGAAACTATTGCCCCTGCCTTGCTCAGATGCAGCCTTGGGTCCAAGTCCTCTTTGTCCCTCACAGACAATCACTCCCCCAAACTCCCCTTGCCCCACCCTGTTGTGAACCCACAGGGCAGGTGGGGCTTGCATTGGCTCTCAGAACGTATCAGTGCGCAGGCTGTGGTGGACTGGCAGCCATCCAAGTTCCAAGTCGCTCCTAATGCACTGCCAGAGTACTCACCAAGAAGGGCTGCCCTCACCCCACCCGGCTGCGAAGGGTGCAAGTCACCTCCTACCCCATGGCCCAGCTCTCTGCCCAGCTGTGGCAGCCCTAGGACTAGTGCACCGCTGTGATGTGGAATAAGTGGAGCTGGGGTGTTCACTCATCTCAGGCTGGGATGTATGCCAGAGTGGTCATGGGAAGCCAGGCAGCCACGGGAATAGTTCTCAATCCACCCTCCCACTCTGGCTCCCGGGCAAGTCAGTATGTGCAAGGGATTCTCATGAGTGAAGTCCAGCCTTTCCATGGTCTTTCTGTTAGTCCCGGCAGCCCCCAAACAGCCAAGGAGGCTTGTTTTCCTTCTGCAGAAACTTAGGGCTGGAGCACCCAATAAGGGGTTTGAAATGCTTCCTCCCCAGGGTAAATCTCCTCCTGTGTAATCTCCCTTTTCTTTGGAAACCCCTCCCAGGGGCACTCATCACTTCTCGTCCTTTCCTATCCGAATCCACGTATATCTTTCTCGCAGCCTTGCTTATACAGGAGGCCTTCTGCCAGTCTCCAGTTATTTTTCCCACATGTAGGGTTGTCCCACATGTAGATAGCATTTTTGTGTGTTCATGGGGGGACATAAGTTCCCCTTCCTCCTACTCTGCCATCTTGATGCCTGAATTTCTGAAGACTATTTCTTTGGTTCTTCTCTCTCCCTCTATTCACTTATCTATCTATTCATTTATTGATTGATTCAGTAAATCTTTACTGAGCTCCTACTATATATTGAGCACTATGGTAGGCTTTAGCAATGACACTGTCAAAAAAAAAACAGACCCATGTGTGAGTAAACTTGACCAAAGACCTTATCTCTAAGTCTTTTTCTGAATAATGTCACAAAGTAACTCTCTTTGTTTACCCCTCCCACAGAAATTTATCTTATCACTCACATGGTGTTCATATCATTCTAGCTTTAGAAGGTATTTTGCTGAATAATAACCTAAATCATGATTGAGATAAAGATTAACAGAAAAAAACATTTTTTAAACCGTCCTTCAGCACCCAGTCTGGACTTTTCTTGCTCAGCTGCCTCTTCAAATTATATTAATTATACCTTTCATGGCATTCATTAGAACACCTTAATTACTCTTTCTATATAACTATATCTTTTATGTATGAGGTTATCAGACAAGGTTATCAGAGTTACAAATGGTGGGCAGCAGTGATTAACAAAAATAAAATCTGCTGGTTGTCAGATAAAAGAAAAACTGAGACAAGTCTTACTCTTAAGCTTAATGGTAATAACAACACTTTAAAAAGCAGAAATTTGGAGGCAATGATTGGAGAATTTTCCCTCCTGGGAAAATACTGAGGACATTTGTCTAGAAAGAGTTTCATCAAAAATAAGACCCTATGACTTAAAATAGGAGCTTCTTTTCCACTTTAAACATGAAATTCAGGGACTTCCCTGGTGGTCTAGTGGTTAAGACTCTGCACTTCTGACGTAGGGGGCGCAGATTCAATCCCTGGTCGGGGAACTTAGATCCCACATGCTGCATGGCATGACCAAACAAACAAACAAACAAACAAAAAAAAAACCAAACCAAGAAATTCAGCCCTCATAAGCCTAGAAGACAAAAGACAAGAAGAGTAAATGGGCTAAAAGCATCCTTAGGATAGTTCCTTCATTCTGTTTGACAGATAGTAATTAAAATATGCAAGATATAATTCTATTTGTTTTATTTTACCTTTCTGTTTTTCCTTTGTACGATACTGTGCATTTTCAAATATTGTGGAGGAATTACGTGTCTCTGAGTATAGTTTCTCAAGCTTCTGTAGACATGGGACTTTTGTTGGTGTCAAAGAATTTCCAACAGACCTAGAGCTCACTGTAAAAGAAAAAATTTCAGAAGTTAAAAAATAATTTTCCAAAGTGAAGACATTAATGTACTTATCTTTATTTCATGGTCCTATATACTATAAGAGGCTTTAGAAAATGATAAATCAGTAGTACATATTTCTCAGTAAATGAAAGATTTGGTTATTCCTAAGATACCTTACATGGCTATCATAAGGAGAAATAAATAATGTAGACAAAAAGCAGAACAGATAAATTAACGTGGCCAAAAGGCAGAACAGATGGTAGCTATTACAATCATTATTATTAACAACAGAAAGCATCAGTGCATATTGAAATTTATATAATATACATAATATCATAGAAAATTTCTAGAAATAGAGGGAATTTTAGTGAGCATATTCTAATAAGTTTTTATGAAGCTGATGAAGGAAAAAATTAGTCATTAATTGCAATCTTTGAGTTACATGGGTTCTATTTTCAAGCTTATTTACTCTTCCACTTTTGTGAAGAAATTGTAAGCTAACATTTAGTTTTGAGCATTAAAGCAGAGTAGCAATGAGAGAATAGGATACTTCAGATTTATTTTTTGGTGATCATCTCTGATATCAATAGCGACAGATGTCTTGGTGTTTCAGGGAAAGCATCAAGATAAGGAAGAAGAATTCAACGGGAAGAGTGTAGACATGCAGCTAGTCTCGTTTATGAATATAATAAATGCTATTTGTTGTTGTTCAGTCACTAAGTCGTGTCTGACTCTTTGCGATCCCATGGACTGCTGCACATTAGGCTGCTCTGCAGTTTGCTAAAATTCATGTCCATTGAGTCAGTGATTCTATCTAACCATATCATCCTCTGCTGCCCCTTTGTCCTTTTGCCTTCAATCTTTTCCAGCATCAGGGTCTTATCCAATGAATTGGTTCCTCGTATCAGGTGGCCAAGGTATTGGAACTTCGGCTTCAGCATCAGTCCTTCCAATGAATATTTAGGGTTGATTTCCTTTTGGATTGATTGGTTTGATTGCCTTGTAGTCCAAGACTCTCAAGAGTCTTCTCCAGCCCCACAATTTGAAAGCATCAATTCTTTGGCACACAGCCTTCTCTAAGGTCCAACTTTCATATCTGTTCCTGACTACTGGAAAAACCATAGTTTTGTCTATACACACCTTTGTCATTAAACTTCACATAACCTCTGTTATCGATACTATAAAAATGTGGGATGAACAATTTCCAAACCTAAATTCATTCCATTTCAAGTTTTAAAAGTATATTAGCGTATATTAAGTTTAGTAGAATTTAAATAGTGAATAAATACACTCTTCAGGGACTGATGAAATCACAGTAAGTATTTTCTTTCAACAATTTACAAACTTAGTGAATTACAGTCTTTATTAGTTCATGTCCTTAAAATTATCCAAATATTTTCTTATTAGGGGCTGCAAATAAATATAATGTCATCCTGCTATGGTATTAATATGATTCTATAACATTAATGATATTTACTTAAAAAATCCTAATATCCCCCTTATTTAAAGCTGACTCCTCCTGGCAATAATATTCATTTTACCTGGTGGAATGAAGACATCAGAGAAGAATGAAATAGAGAAAAAGAGAAGGATCTTCATTGCAAATTATTTCTTAGGAGAAAACCGTCCACGGATCTTCTGTCTTAACTCAGGTGTTGTTGAAAGAAGAAAGAAAAGAATCTTTGATTATCGAGGCTTGTTAAAAGTAAGAACATTTCTATGCTTGGTTGAATAGTATGATGTTCAAAGATACTGCTGGTAGAAAAAAGCTGATGCTTTGCCACACAAAAATGCAATCTATTATGCCAATTCCTTTTGAGATCACTTTCAAGAAACTTTTAACAATTACAAGATTATGGGCATAAATTGCTATGTGACCAAGGTTGGAAATAAAACTGCAGTAATCATGTGACATTCCAAAGTATGTTTTGTAAATCACATATACTATTTTAATGTCAGAAAGGTAAAAAATGAATTTCAATATAATGGGAAATTGAGAACAGAATTTTAGACTGAAATTGTCACTGAGAAAATTTAATTTTTTGTACATAAATGCATTGAATACCAGAGTGCTCAGGTGACCTCATGATACATATCATTTTATTTAAAATATATATGAACATAAATAATGACAGCATAATGATGTGTTTGGAAATTATTTGTGCCCTGTAGGAAAGCCAGTCTCCTCAAGCAGGATTTATAAATTTCAATGCGTAAACAGGCTAGGTTAAAAAGTGAGATTGCGTTTTCTCTCTCTTTTTTTCTATGTAGCTTGGAGTTATTTCTGAACTCATCCACAAGTTTTCCATGGTTTTTTAAAGTAGATATTGAAGAAGAGCAGCTGAAATTGTTCCCTAGCTCCCAAAAGTTAAGGTTAGGAGCAATGGTGTATTGATTCTATCTTACCACACCCGAGAAGGGCATTAAGAATCAGTGTAGAAAAGAGTTCTGGTCAGCATTAGTCACCCTTGTTTTATAGCAACAGAGGCTTTTGCTATTAAAATATGTGTAGATATTTAGCATCTCAGTAAAGCTCCCTGAAAAAGTAATAATGAGTTATGTCTAATTGTTTCCTTCTGCAACGAGTTTCTTCACTCTATAAAACATGAATTATAAAAAATGAAGAACTATTTTTGAAAGCTAAGAACTTGCTTGGAAGCACATGATTGAGAATTAACATCTGACATAGATTAATATCATTTAGGCATAAATCTATGTAAGAATGACTGATACAACAAAAATTAATCAAACACCTACCATGTGCCTATTACTGCTCTAGTTGCTATAGCATATATGTGAGAAGATAAAAGTATTTGATTGCTGTGAATGAGGATGAATACTAGCTGAGTCACTAAAATTCAAAATCAAACTCTATTAAAATAAGTTTTTGGTACTTTCTCTGTTATCAGAACTCAAATAAACATAAGAGCAGACGAGAAAGCTCTCTCATTGATTTTCTGTTTTATTCCTTTCCAAAGATGTTACAAATGTGCAATATAATTACCTTCCTTCAAGGATCGAAACCAATTAGAAATTTATCTTGGATATTTCTTTTATTAAATCTGGAGGAAAAAAAACAGAAAAATTATAACAGAACAGCTGATTCACTTAGGATTCTTTGTAACCCAAAGTCTAGTCCCATGAGAATATGGAAACTACTTATCTTTTTGACCAGAAAAGCATCATTTCATTCTTTCACTCCGAAAGTCCAATATGTTAAACACATTCTACAAAATCTATGTCACAAGGTAGAATTAGATGACTCCTTTCAACACTTATTATTTGGACATGAGGATACATAATATTTAAATTGCTTTTGTTTTACAAATGTGCAAAGAATTTTAAATCATAGACAACTGGATAATTTAGGTATGTTTGGTTCATTGACTGGGAATCTATGACCATCTTGTAGAAATTTTAGATATTTAGGAAAATAAATAAGAAGATCTTATTACCGCCTTGAGAACTTCAAATTATTTTTCAAAATACATGAAAAATACATGACAAATCAATAGGAAAAATGCCATTACAGTTATATGAAAATAGTTCTTGTTTGTCTTCTGAGTATATTATCCCTGTAGCACAAAGTTCAACATTAAAGATTGCATATCACAACATTTCTAGGCTATGGATTTTGCGGATCTAGTAAGAAAAGCCTAGATGACAGGAATTAAGGCAAAAACTAGTACATTGAATGCATTAATAAGCTTATTTTATTGTGCTTCATTTTTCTCTTAACTTTCTAATTCTCCTTTTTAAATTATAGAGAAGTAAATTATTACTGGAGTTAGTGATTTGGGGTCCACAATATTTAGGTTTATTAAAAACCATCCCTTGGATATTAAAATGCATAAGATGCATTTGCTCTCTACTGATTGAGAAACAAGGGGAATGAATTACTTCCTTTGGATCCTGAGACTAATCTTTTTGGGAGTAAAATCTCCCCAATTAAGTTTTCCCTTATTTTTAAATGATTTTTATTTTTTTAAGCATCATAAAAATGAATTTTCAATTTTTCCAAATACCTTATGGGAAAGAAGCAAGAGGAAAATAGCAAATACAACTAAGAAATCAACTGTAAAGGATAACTATAAAAAGAGACATGGAAAATTTCAAATTTTAACAAACTGCTTCTTTTTGAATTGTGGGGCCCAAACTATTCCACTACCTTTATCTAAAACCCAAAAATCTATGAAAAAATTTCCTGCTGAGGACCCTCACTTGGCAGCCTGTCCCAGGGGCTCACTTGAGACCTGGGACATGACCATTCTCTCATGTCCAATTTTTCCCATTGTAGGAAAATAAGAATCCCAGGCTTCTCATAGGAAAGAATTCAAGAGTCAGCCATTTTGAAAACTACTAGTCTACGGGACCCTTGGAGGACCATCTAAATCCCGTCCACAAATCACATTGACAAACTGAAAAATAAAAACCATATCATCATCTCAATAGATGCAGAAAAAGGTTTGACAAATGCAATACCCATTTATGATTAAAAAAAAAACCCAAAAAACAACTCTCCAGAAAGTGGAAATAGAAGGAGGCTACCTCAACACAATAAAGGCCATATATGACCAATCCACAGGAGACACATTCTCAACAGTGAAAAGCTTAAAGCATTTCCTCAAAGAATAAGACAAGGATGTCTACTCTTACCACACTTATTCAACATAGTTCTGGAAATCCTAGCCATAGCAATCAGAGAAAAAAGAAAAAGAAAAGGAATCCAAGATGGAAAAGAAGTCAAACTTATTTTATGCCGATGACACAATACTATACATAGGAAATCCTAAAGATGTTACCAGAAAACTACTAGAGCTCATCAATAAATTTTGTAAAGTTGCAAGATAAAAAACAGAAATCTCTTGCATCTTATTTTTACCAAAGGCATTTATGAATTTAGTAAAGGATTTGCTAGTGAATAATTTCATATATGAGCACTATTAGGCCGCTGAGAGAAAAATAATGGGGTAAGTGTCCTTTTCCTTCTAGTAATGCACCAAACT